GTTTTGAAAGGGAGGACCCACAAAATTACATTACAACATTTTATTGTTGGCCCTGGTTCTAAATCCAAGAGAAAGAAATTCAGTCACGTAATCTTGAACACTTCCTTGCAACAGCGCTAAAATCCGGGGTTCAATTTCCCGAGGCGATCTTTTGACGTAAGTTCACTAAACAGCACGAATAGTTGTAAATATCAAGTATTATCGTATAGAACCTTAACATTAGGAAAAACATATTAGTTTTTCACACCTTTCTGATTTGATTTGTTTGTTTGTTTTAGAGCAAAGCCACGTTGGGCTATCTACTGTGTCCAACGCTATGAGATGGTGACAGAATAACTAAAACGTTGATTAACAAAGATCATTTTCTTCAGTTGATTGAACCGTGCATTTATTTTACTTTGCAATAATTCAGCTTCGTTTCGTTTCATAGACGGCTATAAACACCTCTTAGTTACTTTTTTCTTTACTACGAGTTTTATTCTTCCGTTTACATGAGTTTCTTTGTTTCAACTTGTAAAATCATGTCCTACATCGAACACTCATAACTGTTTCATACTCTGTACACTATTATAAATACCATTACTACACTTGTTTACTTTACGTGTAGTTTTATCTACGCGAGTTTGTTTATCTGACCACGTAAATGTTTTTTTTTTTTTCCAAATAGTCTAGGATTTATTGATCTAACACATAATGCTTGCAAGAAAGCGTAGCTTAAATGGCGTGTTTGAAAATGATAGAATAAGGAAGCTTCAAGCGAAGGGCATGAAAACTACCGCAAATGTTCTGCGGGTCGCAGCTTGTATAGAATAATATTGAAAGCATTGAATAATTGAGAAGCAAATATGCTTATATCATGTTCTTTGAATTTTTTCCTACATAAATTATAAGAACATTAGTTCGTTTTGCAACCCACCCCTTTTCTCTTTTTGTAAACTTTCGTCTCTTAAATCCAGCAAAGAAAAACAAATTCTGGCGATCAAAAGAAAAACAACGTTTAAAGTCAATTAATATTTTACCGCCCAGATCTGATAAAGTATGCCTTGCTTTTATCTTCAACTGATAGAAAATTACATTTTTTCTTCAGCATTTGTTGGAAAGATAATCACCACCACACCTGGGTAAGGAGGTATCCCGTATTGTTCTTATTAGGCTTTGAGGGACAACATTATAGTTTGAACTGAGTAAGGCACGAGCTCCCGTGTTGTTCTTACGAGACCTTGAGGGACAACATTATAGTTTTAACTGAGTAAGGCACGAGCTCCCGTATTGTTCTTACTAGGCTTTGAGGGACAACATTATAGTTTGAACTTAGTAAGATACGAGCTCCCGTATTGTTCTTACTAAGCTTTGAGGGACATAATTTCAAAACAAATCTTCGCATCAAACCAAAGAGATTTAGTATGTTTGAAGATTCTATTCACCAAACAAAAAAAAAACAAAAGTATTAAAAATGTAAAAACAGGCTGATAACAAATAAATTAAATAATAATTAAACTTCGCTAATTTCTCGTAGCATCGGTTCATTCATACAACATGATAGAACAACAATAACCAGGAACGTGAGAAAGTTGGCAGAGGTTAATAACGGAATGGATAACAAGGAAAGTCGAATAATAATTTCTATAAATTTCCAGCTGTGAGTCGTAATTTTTTTTATTCTTTTATACACGTGAGGCATTTTAAAATCGCAAAACGCTATTATTTTTTTCCATTATTTATTCATTTTAATACTATCAAGGTTATGAATGTGGTTATACCTTGGTGGTTAGATGTTCGTACGTCTGTGAAGGTGAAGATCCACAAGATTAGTAATTCAATTTATCATAAAACTATAATGTTGTACCTCAAGGTCTTGTAAGAACAACACGGGAGCTTGTGCCTTACTCAGTTAAAACTATAATGTTGTCCCTCAAGGTCTCGTAAGAACAACACGGGAGCTCGTGCCTTACTCAGTTAAAACTATAATGTTGTCCCTCAAGGTCTCGTAAGAACAACACGGGAGCTCGTGCCTTACTCAGTTAAAACTATAATGTGTCCCTCAAAGCTCGTAAGAACAACACGGGAGCTCGTGCCTTACTCAGTTAAAACTATAATGCAAAATTATTTTGTTTAAAAACCCTTAAACCTCTTTTCTTCCCTACCCCTTCTTTCGCCCAACGGATTTTTAAGGGACGGCTAAACGGTTATTGGTCTTTGATCTAACACGCGGAACGAGATCTTAAGTTTATTTTACACAGTAAGGCTTGGAATGGCCTGGTGTTTAGGGCGCTCGACTCGCTGACTGAGGGTCGCGGGTTTCGAATCCCCGTTCCATCAAACATGCTCGCCCTTTCAGCCGTGGGGGCGTTATATTGTGACGGTCAATCCCATTATTCGTTGGTAAAAGAGTAGCCCCAACAGTTGGCGGTGGGTGGTGATGACTAGCTGCCTTCCCTCTAGTCTTACACTGCAAAATTAGGGAGAGCTAGCGCAGATAGCCCTCGTGTAGCTTTGCGCGAAATTCAAAACAAACAAACATTTCGTTGCTAAAAGAGTAGCTCAAGAGTTGGCGGTGGGTGGTGTTGAATAGCTTCTTTCCCTCTCTAGTCTATCACGTCTAAGTTAGTGATGGGCAGTGCAGATAGTCCTCGTTTCAAGATGTTTCTAGAAGAATAAAAAAAAGTTTTTAAAATGTACACGAATCTTGCATCAGAGACTTTTGGTCATGTCTACTGATGATTTAGAAAACGACTGGTTATCCCAGGAATGTTACCATCGTACGACATGTTCACTTGCCAATTTCAACACCTGGAGCAGGTCAAGGAAAACGAGTCATTCCAGTCGTAAAAATCTTCCTCGTTTTTAGTTTCTCTACAGTACTAGTAGAACGAAAAGAAAGTAACTAAAAGTCTCTCTGTGATTCAAGGTTCTAACCTAGTTGTTTTTTTATGATATCTCTCTCACACACACAGCACAAGCCTAGAATTAGTTTTAATGATTGTAACACTGGGAGGTGGGTGGGAGGTGTTGTTTTTTTATGATATCTCTCACACACACACAGCACAAGCCTAGAATTAGTTTTAATGATTGTAACACTGGGAGGTGGGTGGGTGAAAAATACACCCACCGCGTCATGAGGTACGAAAAACGCAAAGGAGTAAGTTAAAAGTAGTCTGTCTCAACGTTTCTAAGTAGTCACCTTAAACTGTTTGTAAAATCTGTGCCGATATTTTGGAAGCAAGTAGCTTAAGTTTTAACAAGTAAACACGTTTTTTATCGAATATTAAAGAAATTAGTTGAAATTTCAATTATGGAGTCCGTAAACTGATGTTTTCCGTATTATCACTCATTTTAAGCATACAAGTTCACTGAAAAGCTGCCCATGCTGTTTTGAGTGATCCAACTCCATGTTGAAGTGAAATCTCATGAACTTTAAATACATAAAGACACCTCTACCAAATATTTATTTACGAACCTTGGTTAAATCGTCAATTATTTGCCTCTCGTGTCACACAAAGAGCCATCAAATGCCAGATTTGCATAATAATGAACTGCTGGTGATTGGCATTATTTCATGACAGTGAGTTTGCTTTGTTATAGCTACAATATAAGTTCCAGTTGTTTATTTTAACTGTATTGTACGATGTAGGACTAACATAGGACCTGAATCACCCACTAAGCTTTAACTGTATACTTTTGTTATTTTACTTAACTTATGACAAAAACCATTTCTAACTTATTAAACCGCGGTTTAGGAACTTTTTAACGAGTTAACGACATGTTTCTTTATAGAAACGTAGTCACAACTGTGGCTGTAAGCCTAAACCACAGTTTAGGAACTTTTTAACGAGTTAACGACATGTTCCTTTATAGACAAGTTGTCGCAACTGTGGCTGTAAGCCTAAACCACAGTTTAGGAACTTTTTTAACGAGTTAACGACATGTTTCTTTATAGAAAAGTAGTCGCAACTGTGGCTGTAAGCCTAAACCATAGTTTAGGAACTTTTTTAACGAGTTAACAACGGAAATCGTTTTTCTATAGAAAAGTAGTGTTAACTCTGGCTGTAAGCCAAAAACCGAAAGTCAAGTATGACGTCATTATGGAACGCTGAAGAGAATGAATTACGTCAACGTTATATCGACAACTTTCTAATTCCCCCCAAAAAAATCCTGGTGGGGTATCATTAATCACCCCCCGGTGGCTCAGTAAGTGTGAGAGCTTATAAAGATAAAAATAGGGTTTCAATACCCGAGCACTGACAGCCCATTGTGTAGTTTTGTGCCTTGTAAGTCTCTCAACTTATCGCTGGCTCACCGAGGGATAAATAACCTTCAGCCTAGCATCCTTAGATTTATGTAGCTGTGGTATGTCTTCCTTAAACAGAGTACCTTCAGCCTAGCATCCTTAGATTTATATAGCTGTGGTCTGTCTTCCTTAAACAGAGTACCTTCAGCCTAGCATCCTTAGATTTATGTAGCTGTGGTATGTCTTCCTTAAACAGAGTACCTTCAGCCTAGCATCCTTAGATAACTATAGCTGTGGTAGAAGTTATATATGAAACTGGTGTGAAACAAACTTCATAGAACTTGGTGAAACAACCCAGAGCTCTTCAGGCCAACTGAGATAGAACAAACACAGTAGAAGTCGAAACACTGTTTATATAGGACATTTGAAAGATGACAACTGTTATGATGAGAACGCCATTTACAAGCTGGCGAAGCATGATTATAATTAAATATACTTGTCGTAAGACATTACGTTAGGCCTATTAGTTATTTTTGACACTACGTTCTTAATCCGTACCACTAGCTAGAAGAGTGTATAATAATAGTATTTCAACCACGCTATATTCGTCATAGCCATTGTCGACGACGCGTTTCGTTCAATCCAGAACTTTCAACGGTAAAGTTGAAATTACTATCTAACAACTTGTTTTAATATAATCATCATAATATATAAACTTGAGCTCTTTTTATTATTAGTGAGAACTGATTATAATTATTATTTCAACCTTCAGTTCCGACAGAACCTCCAACTCCAGATCCCTTGGAAGCTCCTAAATGCGACCTCTCTCAGTGTCGGTTACCTGACTGTTTCTGCAGTTCTGACGGGACTCGAATACCCGGTGACCTGAACCCCGAAGACACGCCGCAGATGATACTGATGACGTTTGACGGAGGTTTAAACTCCCTCATCTACGAAAAATACCGACGAGTTCTGAACATAAGCCGAGAAAATCCGAATGGATGTCCGATTAAGTCGACATTTTTTGTGTCTCACGAATACACCAGCTATTTCCATGTCCAGAAGTTTTACTCGGAAGGACACGAGATAGCAATGCATTCTATAAGGTATTTGATTCAGTTTTTGTACGTCAACTCTTGATCTTAAAAACACGGGTCAGCGGCAAGATTACGGATTTACAACGCTAAAATCCGGGGTTCGTTCTCCCGCGAGGGACCAAACGCAGGTAGCGCAATGAGTGGCGATGCGCTGAAATAAAGAATATATATTGATTAGTTATCAATTAATTAATCGAACACTATTTGTTCCACAGTGGGCCAGCGATAAGTTTACTGACTTACAACGTTAAGATATAAGGTTCGATTCCCCGCAGTGGGAAGAGCGCAGACAGCCCAGTGAGAAGCGTTGTGCTAAAACAAAGAAATATATAAGTAATATATCAGTTTATTAGTTATCAATTAACTAGCCCTCCAGTGGCACAGCGGTATGTCTGCGGACTTACAACGCTAGAATCCGGGTTTCGATACCCGTGGTGGGCAGAGCACAGATGGCCCATTGAGTAGCTTTGTGCTTAATTACAAAGAAACAAAAAAAAATCAATTAACTAATCCGGCATACTCTGTTTAAAGAACACAGACCACAGCTATATAAATCTAAGGATGCTAAGCTGAAGGTACTCTGTTTAAAGAACACATACCACAGATACATAAATCTAAGGATGCTAGGCTGAAGGTACTCCTTGTTTAAAGAAGTCATACCACAGCTACATAAATCTAAGGATGCAAGGCTGAAGGTACTCTGTTTAAGGAAGACATACCACAGCTACATAAATCTAAGGATGCTAGGCTGAAGGTACTCTGTTTAAGGAAGACATACCACAGCTATATAAATCTAAGGATGCTAGGCTGAAGGTACTTCTTGTTTAAGGAAGACATACCACAGCTATATAAATCTAAGGATGCTAGGCTGAAGGTACT